TGTGGATGATGTCTGGGGGCTGGAGGCCCGGGAGGCTGGGAGGAGGAAGGGGCTAGGGGGAGGGGGAGGCTGATGTCCTACCGGGGGAGGGCTGAGTGGGGGAGGGCCCCAGCACCCGGGGGAAGGAATATTCAGAACTGGAATTGCGGGACAAGGGGTGTCTGGGTTGAGGGCACGAACCGGAAGTCAGCTCTGGGGGTCTAGGTGAAGGGCGGGTTGCCCCCCACCGAGGGAACGCATGTCTGGACCTCCTGCCTGCCTCCTACCCTTCTCTCCACACTTCTGTTCATCCTGGCCAGACCTCTCTTTCCCCTCCCTCACCCTTACCCCATGCTCAGTTTTGCATCAATCCTCCCCCACTAACCTGCCCCTCTCTTGCCCTGGCCACACCGCCCTGCCACGTATGCCCCTCGGCCTAAGAGTGGCCAGATGGATGCCTCTCTCAGAGTCCCCAGCCTGGAGGGCAGTGCCCCCTACCCCGGGCTGCTGGCCCAGGAGATGCCTCCTGAGGCCGTGATGGCCTGAGACCTGGCAGGGGTATCCAGGCCAGCTGGACCAGCCTCATTGCTGCAGCCTGCGGGACGGCTGCCCCCTCCCTCCCCCTGCCCCCCCCGCCCAGGCACGTTCGGACCCCGCACGGCCAGGCCGGTGACGGTGGGCAGACGGAGCCGATTGGGCAGCGGTTTGCAAAGCAAGGAGACGCATCCTCGCTTGGCTGGGTCCCCGGGGCCTGAGCCTCTCCTGGGAAGTGATCACAGGATTCAAGAATGTGCCGTTTCCGTCTCCAGTGGCCTCAAGATAAGAGTGACAGCAATGGTGGCGCCAGCCCTGCTGCCCCAGGAGACCACCTGGGAGGGTGCGGGGTGACCTGGCCTCGCCCAGACGAGCGGGGCCTCGGTTTCCCCGGACCCAGGCCATGTGGCGGGGGGTGGGGGCCTCCGGGAAAAGGCCAAGCTGGTGTTCTTTCTGCAATAAGGGTGCGGCCTGTGCTCCGGGAACAGCTGTGGCCAGGTTTTGGGCGGGGGGGGGGGGGGGGGGGGGGGGGGGGGGGGGGTCCCGGCATCCTAGAGGAGGCGATTCACACTCCACTCCGGCAACAGCCGTGGGCAGGCGGCTCTGAGCCTGGGGCCACAGAGGGACGTGACACATTTGTTTCTGGGCCCTCACTGGTGGCCTGACCCTCCGTGGGCCTGCGAGGCCCCGGGGGACGAGGCCCACATCTGCTTCGCCCTCTGACCTGGGCGTAGGCGTCAGGTGAAGCTGTCTGCTCAGTGCCCAGGCCGTGAAGGAGAGGGGTGGCCGCACGGTCCGGCCAGCCTGGGGGCCTGGCGTGGCCGGCAGCTTCCCAGCTGGGGACTTCGCAGAAGTCACCCCTCCCTGGACCTGGGTTTTCACCCAGAGGATGGGAAGGACGTGCCCCCTGGGGCATGACCTAGATGAGGTCGGGTAGGGGCTGCGCCCAGCTGACGGGGGTCCTGCCCCAGCTCCCGGTGCCATCACTGACTTCAGACCTCCGTCAGCCACGAGAGGAGTCCAAAGCCATCCTGATAACAGTGCCCAGGACTGGCCCACTGAGGATGTGGTGAACTGAATAGTGTCTCCCCGAAATTTACGTCCACTCAGAACCTCAGTATGTGACCTATTTCCTTATTTGGAAAATAGGTCTTTCCAGGTGTAATTAAGGCTCGAGATGAGGCCATCCTGGACCAGGGTGGGCCCTAACTCCGAGGACACATGTCCTTGTAAGGGACAGAAGGGAAAAAACAGACCCAGAGGTTGGGGACCATGTGCAGAGGGGGGCAGCCAAGATAATGAGGCCACAAGCCGAGGAGCGCCTGGGGCCGCAGGGAGAGGCAGGCAGGGTCCTACTCCAGAGCCATCACGGGGAACGGTGGCCCTGCTGGCACCTGGATTTAGGACTTCCGGCTCTAGAACTAGGAGAATAAATCTCTGTCGCTCTGAGCCACCCGGGCCATGGGACTTCGTGCGGTACCAGTCAGCTTGTTTTCCACCCACCTTGCTGACCTCTGGGGCCCTGAGCAAGTGGGAGGGGGCGGGGTGGCCTGGACAAACTAGGGTGGGGACCAGGGCACCCCAGCACTGGGGGGGGGGGAACCTGTGAAGATCCAGACCCAGCCGTGGAACCCTCAAAAGCTACAGCTCCCCCTCACTGCCACCCCCAAGCTCCGTGCTAGCGGGAGCAGGAGGATCCCCGCCCCCCAGGGTCACGGCCTTTGCCGAAGGCTCAGACCACACGTGTGCTCCCCAGCTCAGGGTCGGGGGCTGTTGGAAGGGCAGTGGGGGAGGGGCACAAGGTTCGCCGCGTCCGCGGCGCAGACGAGCAGACCGAGGCTCCGAGGAAGCCTCGCACGCAGTCAGGGGCAGCACCGGCCGGCCCCAGAATCCTGGCAGCTGAGCCCTGCGGAGCCCTTTCCTGTGGCCGCCCTGCCCTGATGGGCCCTGGGCCCTCCCCTCCTACTCCTGATCTCAGTTTACGGCTTCACGGCTCAAGACCCCACGCGCTGACCTGCCTCCACCTGGGCCCCCTGGCCCTCAGGCTGCTGGGATCACTGTCTCAGGGACCTGTCCCACGGCACCTGTCGCCCAGAGGCCGGAATCCGGCCTGGCCCTCGTGGCCCTGCACAAGGGGCCCGTCCCACACGCCGCCACCCTAAGCTGGCCCAGAGGCCTCACTGCCCCGAAGCTGTGACCGGAATCCCACCCCCACGTCCCGGCCCTGGTTGTGCTGGTCCCTGTGCCTGGAGTGCCCTTCCTGCATCTCTGCTGCTTGTTCGGACGCTTCTCCACCAAGCACTAACCAGGGCCCAGGCCTCCGGGGACCCCAGTGTCTCTGTTGCCCACCTGGGGCCTCACTGTCCTCGTGCAGAAAAGGGGGATGGTGAGACCTTCCTCCCAGGGCTGTTGGAAAGCCCTTCCTCGGGACCTAAGAGGAACCTCCTCCTCCAGGGAGCCCTCCCCATGCCTCCAGGGAAACGAACCTTGCCTGCCTCTGCCTGCCATGGCCCAGGTGGGGATGTGTCCGTGCCTGAAGAATGGAGCCTCCGCGCCGTGTGTGAGCTCCTTGGAGGCAAAGACTGTGTCCCTCTTTCCTTCATTCGTCCACCCGTGCACTCATTGGACGCCAAGCTAAGAACCACGTCTACAAGATCAAGTCCGTCCCTGGGCCTGGCATTCAAGGCCTGCTCCGGGCAGCCGGCCCCTGCTCCCATCGCCACCTCCCTCTGCCTGTGCTCTTTTCTGGCCTGCTGGGACAGCACCTCCTCCGGAGAGCTTCTGCTCCCCCCCTGCCCCCGCCCCGCCTCCAAGCTCTCACTGCTCCTGGATCTGTCCTCTGCACCCCCGAGTGGACCCACTTGGCACCACGGGGGCTCCCATGACCACGGCCACTCTTACTCCTTGTCTCCCGTGCCCAGCCTAGCTAATGCCAGGCACAAAGAAGGGGCAGGGAATGTTCGTCGAGTGAGTGAGCGAGCAGCTGGTGGCCTTAGCTGTGGTCCCCACGGCAGAGGGCGGGCAAGTCTGTCCCCGTGCCTGCAGAGACCCGCAGGCCCCGGTGCCCCGGGTGCAGCCCCTGGGGCCGGGGAACCAGACCTGGAGAGGCGTTCCGCTCGGCTGGCGCTCTATCTCGGGCCATCTTGCCGCCATGGTGGCCGCTCCTCCCGGCCCAGTATCTGGGGCCCTCATCTCCCTGAGGCGGGGCCGGGCTCACCCTGACTTCTGCCCCAGTGTGGCCCTGCCTGAACGTCCTCCATGATTGCCCCACACCGCTGCACCCGCCCCGTGTGTGAAGCTGGCTGCTCCTCAAGACCTCCCAACTTGCAGTCTCCACCCTTCCTCAGGCTGCTCTCTCAGGGCAATCTGAGCCAAAGGCCACCTCCTCCGGGAAGCGTTCTTGGTGTGCTGGTACGACCCCTCTGGGACCCGGGCGGGGACATGGGACTGTGGCCCCCAGGCCGGGCCCTGGTCCCGGCCCTGCCATCCCCCAGCTGCTGGCCACGCGCACATCACTTCCTGACTCCCAGCCTCAGTCTTCCTACCTCCGAAATGGGAACAGTAAGGCCTCTGGGAGGGTCAGAGGGGCCGACCAGGCCCAGCGCCACCCACCACACACCTTTGGGGTCCAGATCCCCAAGGACCCCCTCCACCCCACCCCAGGAGAGGCTCAGGGCCGGGGGTGGGGGCGGGGAGCCCTGGTGAGGCGGCAGCCACCCCGCCCGCCCCCTCCCCGGACGCGCCCGCCCTACCTTCCTGCCGGCCTCGTTGTTGTGCAGGTTCATGAGGCGCCGTGCGTTTTTCTTGATCTCACGGGCGTCCACGAAGCGCCGGGAGAAGTCGATGCCGTAGCGCACGTCGGCGGAGCAGCCGCCCCACTTCCAGCCCTCCGCCTGGTTGTAGTAGCCCTGCTTCTCTCGGTCGCACCCGCAGTTGCTCAGGTTCCCCTGGCTGCAGGCGGCCGTGACCGCGTGGGCCACCCCGGCCGCGGTGATGGCGTAGGTGAAGGCGGCCTCCCGGCTCCCTGCGGGGGTGGGGGGATGGGGTGCGTGCGGTGAGGACCCGCGCCTCTGCGCTCGCCCTCTCTGAGTTCCGGGCTCAGCAAAGGGGGGCCGGCGGAACCCCTCCAGCAGGGCTGTGGTGAGGACAGTGGCAGGCACGTGGCCGCGGCCCTGCCACCCGCACTCGAGACCACTGTCACCTCCTTTCCCGGTCCCAAGGGCCCCAACCCTGGGCGAGAGCAGGGGCGGGCTCTGCGAGGGGGGCACCGGGGACTGTGCCCCGCCCCTTCCACTCGGCCAGCCTCCCAGCACCCACCCCCCACCCTATTCCAGGCTCTTTGCTGCCGCCTCCGTGTCTTTGACCACCCCCTGTCCCCCCATCCCCAGGCCCCGGCTTCCTGGGGCTCTCCTCTCTCTCAACACCCCTGCCTGACTCAGACGCCCCCCTGAACCGCCCAGACCTTGGGTGCCCGTCCTCCTTGCCTCCCCCACCCCCAGCCACCAGCGAGGGGGCCCACAGTGCACCTCTACCCTGCACCCTCACCGGGTCTCCTCTGCCCGAGCAGGAAAGGCCCTCAGTCCGAGCCCAGCTGGCTTCCCCATCCCCCCTTTTTCGTCCCCTGCCCAAAACAACGTCTCTTTCCTTCCGGAAAGAGCTGCTCCTGTGCTCCGGGGGTTTCCTGGTCTTTCCAGGGGAACGGCCTTGCCCTCCTTGTCCAAAACCTCATGATTTTCCAAGACCGGTTCCAATGCCTCTTCCAGGTAGCCTTTCCAGACTGCCAGCCAGAAGGGGGCCTGGGCTACCTACCGCCCCCAGTCACGGATCTGACTCTCACTGCACCTGATGCCGTCTACCCAGTCAGCCCTGTAGCTGAGCCGTCCTGGCTCCACGGGGGCCCACAGCCCCCTGGATGGAAGGGTCCAGAGCCAATTCATCTTTCTCTTCCACAGGCTCCGGCTGGGCCCTGGGCATCCCGCCATCCTGGCCCGGCCTCTCCTGCCCCTGAGCCCCGAGGCTCTCTGCAGGCCACGGCCCGGTCTGTGAGGTCCTCAGCAGCTGGCACTGTGGGCCTGGAGCTCGGTGACGCCCCTGTAGTTGCACAGAGCCTGTGCCTGTGATCGGAAAGGCCCCTCAGAGTGCCTGACCGCTGTCCCTGCGAGTGGGGGCTAGAGTGATGGCCCCAGAGGGTCGAAGGTCAAGTCCTTTCCGTGAACATCCACTAAGCACCACCCTGCATGCCAGCTGTGTGATCGGCCTTGAATGTGTGTTCTGGGGACCCCTCCTCACCTACAGCCTGCTGGGGGGAAGCTCGCCTCGGTGGGCTTCCTGTTCCCTGGGGGTCCTCCCATCTGGGCTGAGGACCTGTTGGTCTTAGAGACCCAGTGCCGAGGAAGCTTTGGTCGACCTCTGCCACCAAGGAGGAGGCACAGCTTCCTGAAAACGTCCGTCCTCTGAGAAGAGCTAAGGGAGGGTGGCGTTGGGCAAGACCGAGGTCTGCAAAGGACACAGGGCCGCCTCCGCCTTCCCGTCCAGCCCCTGCTCCTCTCCGGGCCCTTCCTGCCCACACCGCTCCCCCCACCACACCTGCCACCACCTGGGACCTGCCAACCAGCGGCATAGGGCACTGTCCCCAGCACCACTCCTGTGGGAAGCATCTGTCAGCACAGTTGCCCTTTGAGGGGCACCGAGGAGCCCCCAGCCCTGCAGCGTCGAGGCGGGCCGGCTGGGGGCTCCCAGGCAGACGCAGGGTCAAGGGAGAATATGGGGCTCTCCCTCCCCAGCTCTAAATCAGGCCAAGGCTACCCGAAGGGAAGGCTGTCGGGTGCGAAGTGGTTACCAAACTCCCTGCTATTGGTGCTGGTGTTGCCCAAGCCCAGCAGGCCTGCCGACGAGGTCACGCGCACGGGCACACAGGCGCACGCCGCGGGGGAGGGTGCGCGAAAGCATTTCGGGGGCTCCGGGAGGGGAGGTGACCGTAGAGCTTTGTAAGAAAGGGCATGGGGGGGGGG